AGGAAACGATTCATCCCTTCCATCGACACCGAAAGCTCCTCATATCGGATGATTCGGTGGAAGCGGGGGAAATGATCACCACTGCGAGGGAGGGAAGAGAGATAATCGCGATAGAAAGAGGAGAGGGTGTGGAAAGCGCCGCTCAAAAGATCTCGAAGTGGCGACAGGCGGGGATAGTCCCCGTAGCAACGCAGTAGACTTCTACGACGTTGCTTTGCTCCTATGCAGCGCTGAACAGCAGGAGATGCCAGCAGAATGTGGGGGCAGCGGATTGGAGGGAGGCGTGGGGGTGGACGGTGGTGAGTAGACGGGTACAGTAGAAGTCGCGGAAGAGATGGGGATGGAAAGGATGGGAAGGCAAGGTGACGGGGGTACGGATCTGCTCGAGGGTTAGAAAATCAAGGGGTCGGCGGGGCAGCATCCGAGGTCGAAGGCCTATCCCCTGCATTGGTACGTGGGCGAACTGTGGGACGGGTGGGGCTGCAGGAGGAGGGGGATCGGTGCCGTCTTCGTCGTGCGGTACTTGAGGTGGTGGCTGCAGGGTCGCCATCTTCGGGCCTCGGCGGCTCAAGATCCCTGGCCGGACCGCTACCAATGCGCAGGCTAGAATCGCTAGCAAACTCCAGCTGGCGCTTTGGAGGCAATCTCTTCGAGCCTTCGCGCCGCTTCCGGATCTTCCGCTTCTTCCGGCTGGGCTTCCCTCCTCCAATGTTTCCTCGTCGTTGTCTTCTTCTTCTTCGTCGTCGTTGATCACCACTTCCTCTGCCCTCGGATAGAAGGTGTAAGGGATGATCTCGTACGACTTCAGATACTCCTGCCGCGATGGTAGGGTATCCTCGTACCTAGGTTCCTCCAAGCATGAAGTCCACTGAAGGTACGGATCCAAGGATCGCTCGAAAATGTACGGAGCAGGACTGTTGTCGCTCTGAACGTTGATGTCGGGGAAGAGATCGTCCGCCAATTGCACGATCGGTGCGATGAGCTCCTCTGCAATCAGCTGACGACGACCTGGTCGTACCGATCCAAAGAGGAACCCAATAAGATCTTCTTCCGCGTTAGTCCTCCAACCCTGTATGATCAACAACTCCGGATTCTCGATCCACGTGGGATGCTCGGTAGTGCCCGTCCACTTTACCTGTACGCTGGCCAAGCAAAATGACAACTCCTCAAAAGTTTCACGCCACAATCGCAAATATCCAGGAATGATAAGAGGGATTGAAAGAGGCTCGAACGAGAAGGAAATAGAAGGGTGAAGATCGGATTGCCAGAAGGTGGGGAAGAGAGAGGGGAGACCACAGGTAGAGAGAGGAGCGAGACGAGCAGCGTGGTTCATTGGGGACGGGGGAAGGGGACGATGGTCGGGATCGCAACTGGCCGCTCGCGCGGTGATCGGCGAATACCGTCAAGATCCGATGCAAAGATCGGGATGATGTTATACCCCTCCCGCGCGAGGACTTGCTGCCACACGTTGGACACTTGCTCCGTCCACTCGCGCAGCGAGGCCAAGATCGCGGTATGCCGCAGCGGATTGACCGAGCTGAGGTCGCTGGTGAATCCCGCCATTGTGGTGACGTGGCTCGTTTTGGGACCCGCTCGCCGATGAACTACAGTAACCTCCGCGAATACTATTGTGTGAGGGCTTCCTTCTATCCGAAACGTGGCGGCGGCACAGATACCCTCGTCGCAGAAGAATTGCATCAAACGGCGGAGATCTATATTGAGTCGAGGGTGACAAACTTGCCGGATCTCGTAGATGTGGCCACGTGGCTGCCGCAGCTGTGCGTCGAGAACCCGCTCCGTGATAAAACTCATGGCGAGGTCGGAGAGGAGGACGAAGGACAAGAGGAAGAAAGATGGGAGAAAGTTAGATCGTCGTCATTCTCCTCGCTTTCCGAAGAAGAAGAGGGAGGACGATCGAAAGGAGGAAGAAGACGGAGGTAGGAGGTATGCCGAACGATGGGGACAGAGCTATGGCTGGCACTAGCCTCAGGCGCGATGCACACCGTGTTGGCACCGTTGGGTCCGAGTTCGACAACGCGAAAACAGCCCGAGAACTTGGGAGCGAGTTTCCGGTCGCGTGCACGTTTACGTACCTGCACTAGGTCCCCCAATTTATATTGGTACAGGGGCCCAACATTTCCGTTCCGAGCCTCGTAGCTACGTACTTGTGTACCATGGGCCAGTTCGGTCATCCTTTGCCTTTTTTGGGATAGCTTCGGAACGGCCCGTTCCATTAAATCGGCGTACCTTTTGGCCTTGGCCTTGAGAGCCGCACGCGTGTCTCTACCCCTGCTTCAGCAATTTTCGAGTTGCCCCAGTAATCGACACAGGGGAGGCTATTAGTTTGAAGCTGAATGGGGGTAAACCCCGTAGACTCATGAGGGGTGGCCCGGTGGATCCCGATGATCTTATACATAATTTCGGACCAAGGATGCGTGTCGTGTGCCGCTAAGTTCCGGCGAAGGGCAGTTTTAATCATACGGTTGGCATTCTCGGCAAACCCGTTCGACTGGGACACGTGGGGTGCCGTATGTCGGAGCGTGCATCCCTTCGCGCAAGTAGTTCTTCTTCCTCACCTTTAAATTTAGATCCATTGTCGGTTAGAATTTCTTCCGTATCTAGATGGGTATAGAGGAACCGTTCGATGTACGTGGCTATTTTTGCGGCTTTTTGGGTCTTACAGGGATAGACCTCGATGTACTTTGAAAAGTGGTCAATTAATACTAATAAAATAGAATATTCACAGCAGTTTGGGCCTGGTGGCACGTCAATATCTGTCGTGTCAATCTTGACTCGCTGAAAAGGACGCTCTACTTCCGTTGGTGCGATTGTATTTGGTCCCCGTATAGGGGCACGATCAGCGGCACAGACCAGACAGTTAGCGACAATGTATTTGACATCATCTCGTTTATTGGACCAGAACCATCGGTTCTGGTTTACAGTTGCCTCCGTGACACGTATCGCGAAATGAGCGGCCTGTTCCTCGTGAGCAAATCGGATCCAATTGTATCTCTGGAAGGGATGGGGAATCGTTAGCCACGAACCCGATCCGTCAGTTTTACGCTTTTCCAAATGACCGTTGATCCATCAATAGTCCCGAGATCTCTCGGTCACCCTACGTCTGTCTTGTTTGGTGAGGTGACCCAATGATAATCCGGCTAATTTCGCCAATAAAATTTTATCCGTCCCGACTTCCGCTCGTCGGTATTTTTCGTCGTATTCGGGACCGTCCGTACGGGCGGCCTCGAATCGAACCTCCGTGGGGAGCTTGTTCGTTTGACACAGGGGGCACCTACATTCCTTGCTACTCGTCCGATATCGAACGCAGGCCCCGTGCGCACGATTGACACACATTGCACATTCTACCCAATCGACAAATCCGGTCTCGAAGGGATGACAGTCGACCCCATAAACCCGTGCAATACACGTGCAGAAATAACAGAATGTTTCAGGGAGGGTGGCAAAGCAAGCGGAGGACGTGAGAGGGGCAGAATTAGTAGAAGATGAAGGGGTTGCGGAGGCGAGTGGAGTAGCCATGATGTCAGAGGAGGAGAGGATGCAGGGAGGGTAGAACAGAACAATTAGTCCTCGTGCCACTTACTGCTTCGATAAGATCTCCACTTGGCCGTACCGAAGTCCAATTTCCTGTTCGGGTTCGTTCCACGGAATTACCTCCTCATTCTTTGGAACTTTCTTAGGCCGGTGTAGTCGTGTCAGTCCGTCCGCATTCCCGTGTCTCTCGTGCTTCCGATGGCGGATGTCAAAGTCCATGCTCTGCAACACCATCGCCCATCGCCCGATCATGCCCGAGTAATCCTTCGACTTCTTCAGAGCTAACAGGGGCTCATGATTAGTCACCAGGGTGAATTTTCGCCCGTACAGGTAAGCACGAAAGTGACTGATCCCCCAGAGAGCCGCATAGGATTCACCCGTTGGAGCGGTGTAATTGCGCTTGCAGGCGGGCATTGATTTGGACGCATACTCCACTACACTCTCGAGTCCGCTCGGTCCCACCTGGGCAAGAATTGTCGAAATCGCCTCTGGCTGCCAGTCAGTGATGATAACAGAAGGTTTTTCGGGATCCGGGATTATAAGGATCGGAGCCGAAATGAGAGCAGCCTTGAGTGTGGAAAACGCTTGATCGCATTCCGGCGTCCAGATCAATGGTTGATCCTTGCGCAACAAATTTGTGAGAGGTCCCGCAATCGCCGCGAAGCCCTTGATAAATCTTCGGTAATACGAGGCTAGGCCCAGAAAGGCGCGAACTTGCGTGATAGTGGTAGGTACTGGCGCGTCCCTGACAGCTGCCACCTTCTGCGGCTCCAATGATGCTTTGCGCCAGGTGAGTCTTCCGCACAAAATTATGAAAAACCATGTTCATGGCCCGCTGAAAAGTCGCAGGGGCGTTGCAGATACCCATCGGATATCGAATCCATTGCCACGTACCTTCGAAAATCACAAACGCGGTTTTCGGACGATCTTCCTCACGAACAAGGAGATGATGAAACCCATGACGAACATCAAACTTGCTGAAAAATCGAGCACTCCCAATCGCATCTAACAACTCATCAATCCGGCGGAGGGGATACACATCTTTGATCGTGATATCATTCAACTTTCGATAATCAATGCAAATGCGAATCCCTCCAACCTTCTTAGGTACGATCACTACAGGGAAAGACCATGGACCTATAGCAGGTTCGATCCATCCATTAACTTCGAACTCCTTAATTCGCTGAAAAACGGTCGTTCTTGGAGCAGGCGAGTATCGATAGGGACCGCGGCTAATAGGCGGATGATCTCCTGTGAGGATGGCATGCTCAATTACATTAGTTAAGCCGATATCATTGTCATGCACGCTCAGCACTTCCGAAGTTCCGCGGGAACGTGACTCGGGAGGGTGATCGTTGATTCCCTTAACATCTTAAGGGGGATATCGATCCAATCAACCGGCCGCTCCCGCCGCTCATTGACACTAGAAAAATTGGAACTACTGGTGCGAACAGAGAAGACAGTTGCTATCATCTGGGACTCAGCGGGGCTGATCATCTCCGTTTCTTTAGTTTCAGCATTGGTCTCTGAACCAACCGAAGTCGGTTCCAAAGTTAGCCCTATTAGATCCGTCATTTCTTGCATCAGATCAGGTACGTCACTTACCGGTGCTTCCGCCTTTTGTTTAATCAAGGCGGTGGTGACTCCTGTCGTTAGTAACGGTCTGGGCGGAAAAACAGAGGCGTCCAAATACTGTTCCGTTTGTTGATAACGCGTTCGTAGAGAAAGAGTTCCCTCGTACAATGTGCGAGGGGGTTCCAAATCATCAGCCAGGTCGGAAACTTGCAATATGGGTTCCCTAAGGAGGACTGAAGGACTGACCTGGGTTGTTAGAGGTGTGAATGCACTGTCTTCATAATCCACGTGGAAGCTTCGAGCGGTGTCGGGGCACACTCGAAATTCTTCAAAGGTTTCATGTTCGAAAAGTTCAACGAGACGTTTCCATTCCACTTCACTGAGCATCTCCTTTTCGTATTCTCGCTCCCTGATTCCATCCCCGAGATTCGAGGGGGAGCATTCTCGGGGTGAATGTATCGAATCATCCTGATGGGAGCCGAGTTAGGGACCCGTTTTATCGTTCGGGTGAAAACCCACAAAGGAATTGTCTGAGGCCTTCCCTCTGTTTGTGTAAGCACCAATTATTTCGAATCGAAATCCAGACGTGCGCCCACCGCCATCGCCCAGGATAATCCCAACAATACAAAGTTAAAACGTACATCTATTACGAGTGCGTTAACAAGGACGTGTACTCGTCCCACTTTTACGGCTACGTTGTCGATAATACCTACGATGTTCATTGCTTCCTCGTCAACAGAGACATAATTGTCTTTGCCAGATTGAGGAAGAATGGATCCAAGTCGTCCCGTGTTTTTGACAGTTTCTAACGATATGGCCACTGCAGAAGATCCTGTGTCGATAAGGGCGTTAAACGACTTACCCCAAACTTCACAGTCACATTCCGCGCTTTTTCATAGGACCGGTCGAGCTCGTACGAAGTGATCGTTATCTGCTAAAGAGATCGCTGCTATACGTGCGGCTTCGGGTTCAGTTTCTTTTGTATCTGGCTCGAGAGGTGCAACCTCCTCACCTTCTTCCTTCTTCTTCAACATCCGTTGTATGCGCTGATAGGTGAAGCGCTTTTGATTTTTCTGACAATGCTGTAAAAGTTTAACGGTCCGCTGCTTGAGATATGGTAAGCAGATGTCCTAATGGGATAGGAACGCGAATATCTAATTGCTTGAGCGTTTTCAGTACATCAATATCCTTTGTCCGAAACTGTGGTCCAAGATTGGACTCGCGATCGACCCATTCGAGATCATCTTGGGCTGATCGGATCGCTCCGATCAATCCGGCAAGATGGAGATACTCGAGGGGATCGACCATGTCAGCAGCGTCAGAGAAAGAAGCTCCTGATGTCGACGCCATTGTTGTCGAAGGGGAAGGCTGCTCTGGGGCGTATGCCACGAATTCTCTTCCCGGGTCTGTGTCCATCAGAGCGGCCAATCGTCCATGATTAAGGGCGACGGGGGCCGCAACAGGGGGAGGCTGATTACGTTTCGGGTGCGGACAGTCTCGGGCGAGATACCCGGGCTTTTTGCAGTTAAAACACTCGATCTTTCCTGCCGGATTAGCTAGATGGGGAAACTAAGGGGCGAATCTTGGAGCAGGTGGAGCAGGTAAGAGAGGAAACGATGCAGGGGTAGGTCGGGCAGGAGCAGGGTTAGGCTTAATGGGCCGGCTCATTATCTGTTCCATCCGTTCCATTTGAGCCGCCTGCATTTGGATCAGGTTACTCGTCCATTCGGACTGCTTCGTAGTGGCCGTATGGATCATCTGGGCAAGATGCAAATTAGTTATGGCTGGCGAGGGAGGTTCGGATGGAGTTCCGTTTCTAACGGCTGCGATTGATTGATTCCCCGGGGGAGAGGAAGGAGAAGTAGCCGGGATATCGGAGACAATTCCGCCGGGAAGGTCATGGTCGGGGCGGGGATGGAACCGTTCGACCGACTGTAACCATGATCACCTTTTTGCCGTTACATCCCGTATGGTATCGATAATATCCTCGTCTCCCTGGCTGATATATTTTTTTGTATCAGCCAAGTCTAGCTCCAACGCTTTAGTGATGATAGCCGATAACTGGGTTGTTTTCGGCGGAACCTTTTTCTCCAGTTTCCCTTTCAAGGTCGAACTTCGAAGGTGATCAATAAACAAATCTCGAGCAGATATCTCGTCTCGCCCGGATTTATCGAATGTGGTTTGAAATCGATCAACGAAATCGGGTAACAGTTCCCCTGGTCCTTGGGGTCGATTTTTTAGCACGTACCAGGCGGCATCTTCGCTAACCGTGTCGAATGGAGCCAAGATTGCATGCTTAACAGTCTCCCAATCTACCCATGTATGCTTTCTGAACCAGTCGTGCGATGTATTGCGGAGTAGCAATGTCATAACACGGGGAAGATCGGCTGCGCTGTAGTTTTGAGCTTCGACAGATTCCAGCCAAGCCTCGGGATAGGTATGGTTAGGGAAGAAGGGAAAGGGGGAAGGGATGCTAACGATCACCCTAGTACCATCCACCATTGGTATTGCTGGTGCAGCCGCACTAGACTGAGACCGGGTTACTGGGCGATTCCGACGAGTTAGTTGAGGGTCTCTCCTACCTCTCGCCACTTTGACTTACTATCATCAGAACTGACACGTGTCGGCTCTAATACCAACCTCACGTCTGGTGCTGTCTTTCGTTCGGAGTGTTAGCTATGCGAAAAAGAGACCCATAAAAACAGCAAGATAGGGTGTGCCAAGGATTTTTGGAAATTGAGTGTGGGGACACAGATGGAACTGAAATCCCCCGTGATGGTCTGATGGAGCAAGTCGATCGTTTCGTGCGTCTCAGAATGCGCGCGCAGGCAAGGCGGGAAAGAGAGAGAAAGACCCAAATTCAATCCAAAAAGTATTGTCATGCCTCCCACCGGGCTACAGCCCGTCGCTTAGAACAGAAAGGCTTGGGCACGCTTCGAGTGTCCCGTTTTCGTATCAAATCCCGGTGTCGTTTGATGGTTAGTTCCGAGTCTGACGTGGAGGGTCTCAGTCACGTGGCTCTTTCTTTATGCTCCTCTTCACTCCGCACACGGTAGTGGAAACCCCTGGACTCGTAGCGCTCAAAACGCTCACATTTGGTGCACAGAGTGCGCGGCCAGTGGGGTTCTACTGTCATCCACGGAATGACGATTAACTCCTTAAATGGCATTAATACCGAGTAAGGTGGGAAGTGCATATCGATAATAACAAACTTGGCTTCTACGAACCCAGAACAACGGTTGGCCGGAAGGAAGTAATGCTGCTCGTCGATTTGTGCAACGGCTTCTCGTACGTCCCACTCACATACACGTGTCCTTTCCTCACTGTAAGGAAAAGGTCGTGTTGGGATGGGAGATAGGGGAGGCTGGCGCCCAATCGAAGGGTACTTGTCAGTCCACATGTCAATCAATCACAAAATATCCTGAGACGTCATTAAGAACAGAAGTGATTCGCGCGTCCCCCAGTCAATCTTTTTGACACAAGAGAGAGAAAGCAATCACAGATCAGTATGGCTACGGGTCCGATCAGTTCAACCCAACGTTGGTCCCTGGGCGCCCTGTTTCTCAGGGCCGCCTCGTGGCTCGGCTGCTGATCTCGTGCATCATAAGGCATATGGCATGCGCAGTGCAAACAGAGCTCAAGATCTTAAAACTCTTGCACTCTCGAACAAAACCTCGACGACACTCGTCTAATCAAATCGAAAAAGTCACGCATCTCTGTACATGCATTCACTGTGGAAGGTGCGAAAATAAGACATGCATAGGAAAAGATGGATCGCATTGCACAATACACACGCATCCACCATTCACAAGACAAGTAGACGGGGTCCTTGCGTAGGAGGATTACCCAGGAAACTAATGGAAGAGTTCTGAAAGAAGTTCTCTCATACAGAAGCAAGATGCCAACTCATTCCTACTCAAGAGAGGGACAATCATCCAGACGCATCATCATTCAAAAAGAGAGAGAGGGAGAGAGAGAATGAAAGTCAAAATAGGAGATGACAAGGTCCAAAAAGAGAAAAGTTCGGGGTCACCGCTGCACGCTCACGCCAAGGATAACAATCCGCAGCAAAGGCGCATTCACCGTTAATTCCACTATGGCCCCGGGCCAATCACTCACTCATCTCCAATATTCAAACCTCATACCTGCACCGACGATCCCAGGCGTCGCGTGCTAACTCCCACCACTGCGATCGTCACCTCGCTGTCGTAAACTCGACACGATTCGCCCGGATCCCGCATTCTGTCATGGCGATCCAGTGCGCTACCGGCCAGCCTATCGTCAGCCCGACAGGACTTCCCGACTCACATTAATCCACTCTGCCTAGCCACTGTATCCCAGAAGCTGGCTTAGGAGTCGAGAACGTAAGAGAGATTTGCGGACGCGCTTGCAGGTTTTATAGTTGCGACAAGGGAGATAGAAGGGGTAGAAGGCGACAGGAAAGCTGAGGTGTAAGAGGAGAAGCTGGAGGAGAAGACTTAGAGAAGAGTGCTCTACGAACGCCATGCCGATCCCTCGGAACTCAGGGTTCAACCAATCAGATACGTCGTGAGATAGGAAGGTCCTATCGATCCACACACCGAAATGGCGAGCGGGAGTTATCGGGGGATCGACAGGGCGTCGTACATCAGACTCAGAGGGTGAGAAGAGAAAAGGCGCGAGAGGTGGCGCAAGACGGGTCCAAGATTCAGACGATCAAGAAAGGGAAATGGTCGTGCAAACAGCAAGATGGGGGAGGGGGAGGAGAGAGAAAGAAACAGTTACAGGGAGAGAGAAAGAGGAGGGAGAAGGAAAGCGAGCGCGGGAGGGAGCGATACAGGGGGACAGAGGGGAAAAAGCTTCTGCATACGCGTCGTCGTCAACAACAACAAAAAAACAAAGGCACCGAAACACTTATAGTTTCCTTCTATCGTAATTAAAAAATTGAAATCACCAGATCCGCGCGTGAAAGAGCAACGCGGGAAAAGAAAAATCCTACGCTTATTCGTATCCGGACGAAATTCCGAAAGTTTTCTCCGACGCGACCAAGAACATTCACACACTCGGAAAGGACACATCAAAGTTCCGCTTATCCCGTAATTCCCAACCACCGAGCCCAATTCCCAGTGCGCTCGCTAATAGCACGGAAATTCCCATGTATTTCCCATCTTTGGAAAAAGAAAAACATAACTCAGCAGTTGAAAAAGCTCTTCAAAAAGGGAAAATGCGGCACCCGAAAGCAAGAAATAAAAAACGGGTTTTTCCTGAGGTTGGTATGATATAAGCAAAAGAAAGGGTACGAAAGGTGGCATGGGGTCGTGAATTGGTTCGTCACAGGGGCACGGCACACGGCTGGCGTTGATGCAGACGAACATCTTGGAGGCGAGCCATCCTATATGCAGGCGGCTTTTTTTTTTTTGTTCTCTGCGGTTGTCCGTCGTATTGTGTCCCCCTTCCCCTTTTTTCATCTCTCGCAGCTGTCATTTTCTTCTTTTTTCTTCTTTTTTTTTTCTTTTTTTTTTGCCTTAATGCCGAAAACAGGGTCCGATCCAGCGGCCTAGCTCAGTTGGTAAGGCACACAAGTGGCATTCAGGAGGTCTTGGGTTCAATCCCCATTGGCCTCATGTACCTTCCTTGGCAAGCTTGGCGCCCGCCACTTAGAGATATGTCGTTGGTCCCCCAGAGTCGCATTGAGCAGAGACTGCTGATGTTCATAGGGGGAGGGGACCGGAGGGGACCAGAGGGGACCAGAGGGGAGGCACAGTGACTGGCCAATCGAAGAAGCTCGGTCCTGATGCTACCGGCTGACCCCTGGCCGGTATCGCCCACCTACTGAAGCAGGTATCGCACCTGCTGGTGGGTGCAGCTCCCGCATGTTCCCTCGTTGGAGGCTTGAGCACGGATGTGGCTGCTACGGGGTTCCCCGTAGTACTATAATGACAATAAAAAAGGCCTGAAAGGCCGTCCTGTCCAGATT